TCTGTACAAATTAGAACGACATTTGATACTTGAACTTAACGATCGTATGTCCCCTACTCGCATAAACCAATATCAATTTAGAAGCAGACGAGAGGGTCCATGTAGTTCGAGCATAATGTAAAATTGTTACCTGAACTCGACCAAGAGCTTTTGCCCGGTGTACATCAACAATGTTTTCTCTCTACCGCAAAGCATCTTCAGAAGGCGACCCGTCGTTGCTGGACCCGAGTACACGGCAATATAGTCGCTGGTGCAGTGACTGTAACAGACAGGGGCAAGCAGAGCTTTCAGTTGTGGTAGTGGTATATTACTGGAAAATGCTTTACATATTTTCGGGCTACGTAATAAACGAAAGTGTAGTAACATCCGTCGGCTTTTAAAAGCTAGTTTATTCGGATCCAGCTGCCTTTGCAAACTGGTTTTAGATAATGTAATTGATATCAAATAATAAACAATGATCAACTATCAAAGCGTATTATAGTAAAACTTCATTCGATATGCCAATCTCCAAACGCAGAATAAATCTGTTAAATGAAACAAAACCTCATGATTTTTCTCTTTTTGTACAGATTCTAGAAACGTACGTTTTCGTAATTCCATACAATTTCGTAATTAAAACAAGTACAGATATCCCGTCACCGGTTTCATTTTACTTCGATTTTTCAATAAAAATTCGAAAACCGACTGTTGTTAATATAAAGCCCGCTACATTCGTTCGGATTTTTTCGGTTTCTCTTCTTCAATATTTAGACAAGTCTGTCAATTAACGTCATATCGCGAGTTCGGGCGACTTCACTGAGAATGGAAGATGATTGGAGTGTTCCGCGGGTTATGAAGAATTCCCGTGAAAGTTTAAAAATATCCGGACACGGATTACGGTCGTTGAACACGGAGTGCTCGCGAATCGAGCGGGGAGGAGAAAAAAGACGAGCGGAGCAAGAGAAACGCGGAACGTCCCAAAATCGAATAAAAGGACGTCCGTCGAAACGGCACGACGGAGGTGGACGGAGGTGTACTGATTTATCAGAGAGTTCATGGGTACGAACAGTAGTCGATTGCCACGGAAGTTTTACTATTAAGAAAATATCCGATGTTACCGAGCGAGGCAGGGGCGGCTGCGTTGAATTACCACGATGGGATGGCTTGATTTATTTTACGAGTAAAGTTCCGCCGTTGCCTACCGACGTAGGCGATCCTTCATTTCGAGGATCACGGGGATAGATTTTTAATAATCCTCACGAATTAGGGGACATCTACTGCTTTGGCCCGCGTGCGTTGCTCCGTTTAGCCCAGGAATTTCGGACAATGTTTACGGGGCTAGCACAGAATTTTGCATTGTTAGAGCAAAAAGTCGATGATGCATTCTGTAGAGAATCTTTTAATTATACTGTGGAGTGTAATTAAATATGAGTTAAAAAACTCTTCGCCTCCTTCCCAATTTTTCCAACTTAATGTGTCCCCTGTTTGTTAAATTGACGCTATCGCAAAAAATCCACGCAATAAAAGGTAGAAAATATATTTTTCATACAAGCCGATGGAGAGAATGCATGTGGAAAACGGTAAATACAATTTTTGTATATCATTGTTATCAGGGAATACGTTAAGGCTTTTGAATTTCAGAGAGACCGATTTTACTTGGTACATCAAAGGGTGCGTCAATTATTTTGTGTAACCCGTGAAGCAAAAAATATTCTTGACGGAATGAAAAGAACATTGTAATTATCACAAAAACACGAATAACCAGCCAACGGCACGAGTTTAATTTTTTAGCATCAGGGCGTTTACAGTAGCGCGACGCGCGAGGTCGTTGTCGCGTTCACCGTGACAGTATCGCGCGATTTTTAGTATTTCTTTGCGTTTATTTAACTGAAAACATAAAAATTTCCACAACCACAAAACGCAAAATTTGTTAGGCGTTATTTACATTTGTTTATTTTTTATTGATTTCATTTTTTCCTTGTAAATAAACGCCAAAACGACGTTGTTGTTTTAGGAATTGCGTCCAGGTAGTCCGACGTTTTAATTTTTCAAGTCTATGTTTGTTGATTGCACATCGTCAAAACATTCGAACACCCGCTGGTAGAAAAATATTTCAAATTGCCTATTGATACGCTCAGCATTTTATCTTTCGCAACGGCCGGCTCGCGCTGCTCTGTTATTTTGATAAATGAGAAATATTCGCAGATTTTTCCTACAAAACGTTGATGATCGTTACAGATGCTTATGAATGGGCTGTAAGCTTTCTGTATCGATGATAAAAATAAAGAAGTCCAATACAAAATTGAAGAAACATCAGAAAAATTTAAGCGCACTGTCCGATTATCTTCAATTTGCTAAAATGATCAAAAGAAGAAATACAGTTTTATTGGACTTATACTCCTTACAATTCACTTAATAAAATTTTTAGTTTGCGTGCAAATTCGCAGTCTAATTATTTTACATTACCAGTTAACACGTTCCGTGCCACGTGTACCATCGATGGTACACGCTTGCATGTTTACTTAGTGAACCGAACAAATTGTTTACAAGAAATTTAGAACCGAAGAATCAATTTCCACCGCAAGAATGGGCGTTGATAAGTTTTTGTTACGTTGTTATGTGTACGAGAATTAATAATTGCACGTAATACATCAAGTTTTAGTAAAATATCAAAGTNCAGTAGCGCGACGCGCGAGGTCGTTGTCGCGTTCACCGTGACAGTATCGCGCGATTTTTAGTATTTCTTTGCGTTTATTTAACTGAAAACATAAAAATTTCCACAACCACAAAACGCAAAATTTGTTAGGCGTTATTTACATTTGTTTATTTTTTATTGATTTCATTTTTTCCTTGTAAATAAACGCCAAAACGACGTTGTTGTTTTAGGAATTGCGTCCAGGTAGTCCGACGTTTTAATTTTTCAAGTCTATGTTTGTTGATTGCACATCGTCAAAACATTCGAACACCCGCTGGTAGAAAAATATTTCAAATTGCCTATTGATACGCTCAGCATTTTATCTTTCGCAACGGCCGGCTCGCGCTGCTCTGTTATTTTGATAAATGAGAAATATTCGCAGATTTTTCCTACAAAACGTTGATGATCGTTACAGATGCTTATGAATGGGCTGTAAGCTTTCTGTATCGATGATAAAAATAAAGAAGTCCAATACAAAATTGAAGAAACATCAGAAAAATTTAAGCGCACTGTCCGATTATCTTCAATTTGCTAAAATGATCAAAAGAAGAAATACAGTTTTATTGGACTTATACTCCTTACAATTCACTTAATAAAATTTTTAGTTTGCGTGCAAATTCGCAGTCTAATTATTTTACATTACCAGTTAACACGTTCCGTGCCACGTGTACCATCGATGGTACACGCTTGCATGTTTACTTAGTGAACCGAACAAATTGTTTACAAGAAATTTAGAACCGAAGAATCAATTTCCACCGCAAGAATGGGCGTTGATAAGTTTTTGTTACGTTGTTATGTGTACGAGAATTAATAATTGCACGTAATACATCAAGTTTTAGTAAAATATCAAAGTGTGAAGATTCGAGTAAAAAAAGCTCGGCACGGAACGTGTTAATTAAGGTTTGTCCACTTTTGAACAAATTAGCGATATTGACAGTCTCCCCGAGTAAGCGCGCTTTTGTGACCATGCAAACGAAATATCGTGCATCCCAAGATCTTTATTACGTGCAATCACGTCGATGATAATTTCACCAGCCATAAACAACGCTCCAGCATTCAATATCGAATTCATTTCAAATTATATACTGTGCTACGCGACTGCAGATGCGACAGCAACGAGAATGTCCTACCTTGAAAATATTTCACTGATTTTCCTAAATACTTCAATGATGCAAAATCGTTAGAAGTTTCATTAAAAGCTGACAACAACGCTGCAGCGCATTAACGGCGTCGAAATAATGGCAACTGTGTACCCGAACCGGCAATATTTACGTATCAGCCGAATATGATTCGAAGTAACGTTTTAGCAGGTTTTCTGAAAATCTGATTACGCGCGTTTACGTTCGCGTGCATTTAATCGGCAGGATTGAAACTCCCTCGACGAAACAGGTTTAATGTGATTACACGGTGCTTCGAATTATAATCGATATCCACTGTAAGAGTCTAATTATTCTACATCAATCATTATAGCTGTGCAGCTCAAGAAATAATTACTAAGATTTACAATTTATTTCCTGCGTGAGATTGTTTTACTTTAAACGCGTGTCAGCGAAAATATTAATTTTAACTCAATTTAATTTTCTTAATTTCTTTTATTTCTATCATGTTCTTTATTTGTTGTATCAATATAAACAATGTGATACATGCCTTACTATAATATTTACTTTTAATTTAACGAAACGTATATTTATTAAAACATCAAATTTTACTGAAATGTTAACGATATATAAAGTTTCTTTAATTTCGTTGCTATATCTTCTTTTTCGCCTAAAAAATTATTACAATAGAAAATCCATAAACAACGCTCCAGCATTCAATATCGAATTCATTTCAAATTAGCGGCGGTCAGTGATTAATTAACGATTTGTTGCGTTCTATTGCTGATTGAGAAGCAACGTTCGCGAAACCTATATATATAGTTTATTAAGTATTTGTTGTTTGTGAAAGGAGGTTTTATCAGTTTACTCTAAGGAGTATTTCAGGCGACCAGATAATAAGTTTTTCTCTAAGAACGACGAATTAATAGACGGGGCACGAGATTCGTCTGTCCAGGACGCATTCGGCAACTTTTCCGCATCGTTATTAGTCGACGTCGAACCGTTCGGCGATCAGTCATGCGAAGAATTTCATTACCCGAGCAGAGACACGAAGAAATAATTCTAAACACGTAACAGGTGTTCCGAAACTTTCGTCCCGGGGATTTAATTAATTGCCGCGAGCGGCAGGGTTAAGTAATTAATAGGGAAAGTTCGCGCACCGCTTCGATTTCATCCGACGGATTTTCGCGGAAATTCCTTTTTCGGCATTCCGTCGACGAACTTCGGCCATTTCAGTTCGCCGAGACACGCGACTACTTGATGCGCCACGCCGCCGTTGTCGGGAGACGTGTGACGTGGCACGTCGCCAATTTCTGAATAATTAACTGTCAGGAAGCCGCGGAGGGCGCGGCCGCTTCATAATTGCCACTGCGCCCTTTCTCCCGCGACCTCTCACTTTCCACCGTGTAAACATATTAATTATTAAATCGGTTCGGTCTGCTCGTTCTCACGCCACGTAGCCTCCACGTCTCTTTCTGTTTGAGTTCC